TTAAGAAACAAAAAAAAAAACTTAAGTAGAAAAAGTAAAAATTTATATATTTTACATTTATTTAAACTACAGATTTTAAACTTAAATCTTGTTACTTTAACAACATTTTTAGTTGTTTTTGATTTTTGAAATATTTTATTGAGAGATAACAGATTAAAACAAAACACCGCTACAACCAGGATCGAAACAATAATAACAGAAGTCTAAAGTAAAACTTTCAAACAATTGGAATACAAGTTTCACTACAAACAAAAACAAATTGAAGTTATCAAATCCGTGCCTGGTCAGGACTTGATACAAACGTTAGTGAACGATACAAACTAAATATAAATGTTAATATTGTTATTGATTTAAATAAATAAAGGAATTAAGAGAAGGAATCAGAAAAAGAAAATCTAATTCAGAAAAAACACAATATTCCAAAATTAGACCTACTTCTCGAGGTTATTAACAATATCGAATCATAATTTAACAATATCTCGTGAACTAATTCGTTTAAGATTAAGGTTGGTTTGTGTTGAATTTCGCGCAAAGCTACACGAGGGTTATCTGCGATAGCCGTCCCTAATTTAGCAGTGTAAGACTAGAGGGAAGGCAGCTAGTCATCACCACCCACCGCCAACTCTTGGGCTCCTCTTTTACCAGCGAAAAGTGGGATTGACCGTCACAATATAACGCTCCCACGGCTGAAAGGGCGAGTATGTTTGATGTGATGGTGATTCGAACCCGCGACCCTCAGATTGCGAGTCGAGCGCCCTAACGACCTGGCCATGCCCGGGCCCCAAGCTCAAGGAAAGGTTTTTATTCAGTGCTTAGACCACGAGCTACAGCTCATATGTCTAGCTAATTTACATAGTATTTCACAACGTTATGATCTGTACGCAACCGCTAGACGAAGCTTGTGTTAGTTTCATAATACAAAAACTCTAATTCAATGTGCTCTTGCTGGAAGGTGAGTTAGCATGTGGTGCTCGAAACCTGTAGATAAATGAAGTGTTTGTTTATCGTGTAGTGAAACTTTGAATTACACTTTAAATGAATAAATAATATAAGGCGATACGAAGTCTAAAAGGTAGATAATAAAGTTTTTCGATGTTTCATTTTTTTTTTCTCTCACTGCTACATAGTCTATAATACAACAGAATCTTGTAGTATGTAAGTTGTATGTATCTGAGAAACTTGTTTTAAAACTGCCAATGTTACCATTAATGAATATCCCTTGTCGAAAACAAGTTGACCTAAAGCTTGGTTAGGACTACTGGTGATATTTGTTTGTTTCAGAATTTTCAAGCAAAGTTACATACGAAGCTATCTGTTTGCGTATAGGCGTTCTTAACTTTGAACTTATAGACTAGAGTTAGGGAAATTAGACGACGGCACCCATACGAACCCTTGGGTTACTCATGTCTGACCGAATATTGGGAGTCAACCGCCACTCTTACAGACCGACTACGAAAAGTGAAAATGCGCGTTTTTGTAACAACTGACCAGAGACCATGACTTGTCCTCAAGTTTTAATCACGAGTTAGTATATATATTTATGACAGTACGACTCGTGTCCCAAAATATTAAGGTGTTAGATTCTATGGCCTTAGTTAGGGTTAACAAACCAAGTTGCACATTCTTACGTGGGACACATCCTTGTTAAGTATGTACATAGTGTATCAAGGCCAGCGAGTAGTATCGAAACGCTTGCTGTTTTAGCATCTACCCTTTAGTTCTGAAATACACACGTCTCGAAACCATAGAATTGGAGTTCCACAGGGTCAGAATAAAACTATCTTTTAACAAACTGAACAACGTATACTTTTAAAGAACTTGTTTTGTGGTACACGGAATTCCCGCAGAGACAATAACGATACCAAGTTACAGAGTGTGTGTGTGTCTAATCACTTCTTCGAACTCTTGAGTTTGTAGTGAGAAAGAGTCAAATGCAGAAGGTTCACCATTATCTTTACTTACACCAGTAATGACATAAAACAAAGGTCTGTAGTGAGACTGGTGAGAAAGAGAGGGGTGAGACTGGTGAGAAAGAGAGAGGAGAAGCGAAATCTTTGTGATTTCTCTCTGACCATTCCAATGTTTGCTTCCACCCATAAATTAAACTACAATAATGTTACAAAATAAAAAAAATTAAACAAAGTTAAAGATGCAAAAATTACAAATAGTACAATCTAAATCTTGGAAAAATAATAGATAAAAATCTGTCTGCTAAAAGTTTGAATAAATAAAAATCAGACAAACAAAACCCTGACTTTTAATACTAAAAATATATGACGGAATCCTCAATAGCCTCGGCACTTGAAATTCTTTTAAGCAGGATTAGAGTAAATTAATCTACTAGACCTTTGTTTCTCCTTTTATCAGCTATATTTTTGTGCTCCAGCAATACCAAGCGTCGGGAATGCGTATACCCGATTCGATTTTATTACTCATCAGGATCTTTACGAGCCTACCCTCAATTTGAAATTCTGTTAGACCTTTAGTAAAGAAACTGGGTTCTTTATCTGATAGAACTATGTTTAAAAAATTGAGTTGGAAAACTAGGAGTGAGTTCTTTTTCTTTTGCGAATTATGAGGGCACTATTTATATTTTCGTGTGTGTTAACAAAATGTGCACGGGCTCCGTTTTGAAAGGGCTCGTGCCCCAGAAAAGATGAATGTTTTTGAAACTTGTGTTTCAGATATTTGTTAATTGAAAATGATGAGTTGGAACTGTCGGTTAGAGCCCTTTTTGACTATGGTAACGTCGTCATCTGGGAGACGAGTGATGTTAAAATGTTGTTAGAAGGACTCACAATTTTTAAAATGGTGTTACTCCTAAGAGCCTAGTTTTTGTTATTATTTTTAAGGAAGAACAAGTCAGTTCTCTGTCTAGATTTATTAAGTTTTTTTTGTCCTTATTCCAGAGAAAGGTTGTAGAGGAGAATATAATAGAAAATGATATCAAATATTAACTGAATTTTGACGCGAGTCCTAAGGTGTAAATGTTGTGAAGGAATTGTGTACTAGCTTGGGTTTAATCCAGGAATAATGTATTATTCCGTCCAGGATGTGTATACTTACCGAGATGTCACCCAAGATGGACATATTAGTGTGACTGTCGTCCAGGGTACATATACTTACC